TTACATTTACCGTGGGTCCTGAGACCCACACCTGGTTTTTTCGCTAAACTTAGATGAATTGTTTAAAATTTTGATCTTGTCCGGGAAAGACTTAAACTTACTTAATTTAATACAAATTTTTTCCACTTCTGTTTTAAGATCAAACAAAGAGCTGTGTTTATGTTTAATAGCGTCTCAAATTTTTAAAACGTTTTTTGCCGTAGAAATCAATTTATTGAACATTAAAAATAGTAAAAAAATCTTTTAGAGGGTCTTTTAAAACTAAACAAGAAATAAAAACCTTTTTTTGTTTACTTTCAGGATAAAAATTGGGCATTTTAAAGTAAAAATTCTTTATTAAACAAGTTGAATCAGAATCTTTTAGAAATTTTGGGCCTTAAAACTAACGACTCTCTTTTCTCGAAGCATCGTAAGCAATGTTTGTACCATCATCTGCTGGATTATATTTGTAAAGTATCCATTTCTATTTGGCACCTAGCGAACTTTTTTGTATCTTTAATATTTGATTTGCAACAAATTTATAACTGTGGGGATTTTTTCGAATATGATGTAGTGATATCTGTGAATCGGATCAAAAAATTTGCCGAGTTATTTCAAAAATGTGTTCTATCTTAATTATATTTGCAAGTTTAGTAGCAAGTTTAGCAGCAAGTTCAGCAGCTTGCAACTCTAATGGTGGAATGATAAAATTTTTTATCTGAGTAATTCTGCTTTTTGCCATGATAAATGATACATGACAATTGTCATCTTTCATCGGAAAATGCCACTTCGCAACTGCTAAATAAGCTCTCAAACTTGCATCACAAAAAATGTGAAGCTCGGTGCTTCTGAAATTAGGATTTTTAAACTGATACCATCTATTTACGTGACAATCTTTCAATTTTTTAAACTTATCAAGCCATTGTTTTCATTTTTTAAATTCAGTATCATGAAGCTGTTCGCCCCATTTAATCTCACTGCTCGACACGTCTTGCATAAGAATTCCTGAATGGATTGTCAAAGAAGTTTAAATCTAATATTTTTTCTTCACTGACTTGATTAGATTTTTGCTGTTATTGCACGAAATTAGGTTTGATAAACAAGAAGTATTACTATTTGCCCACTTATGTCTTGACCAATTAGCGTTAGCGCTGATCTTCATCGCTTGTTAAACTTTTATGCTGCTTCTTCTAACGTTTCACTGTTATCTAAAAATTCATTCATATAACAGTTATCGATCAAATTCTTTGCAGTTACTAAAAATTTAGACAAAAATTGAGAGCATTAGAATTTTTAACACACAACGCAGAAGAAGGCGAAAATTTAGCCCAAAATAATACGGTAGACATAACGAACTTCTATGGCTCCTTGTATCTATCTTTTTCCCGCCACAAGAAACGCTAGGCATCACGGTCTTCTTCGCTAAGTTTTATCATGAGAAGCATGTCATGTAAATTGGCTGTTATAGCAAAGGCATAATGCCTAAATCTCATTAAAACTCCAAGTAAAGATCTCAAGAGTGGGACCCGTAAATAATAAATCGTTAAAACTAGTACCGCAGGATTTCGCTGCTGCATCGAGAATAAGTCGTAATTTGCCTGGCTTACTAATATTTGTAACATCAAAATAAGGTAAGTACCAAACCCTGTTATTTTTTTCGACAGTGCCTTTTTTTTAGTAAATTTCTTCTCAAAAAGCCCATCCATTTCTTTATAATTCAACTGTGCATAATTTTCCTCACAGTTGAGTTTTCGTTCTAACGATTTTGATCTTTGCAAAGCGTTTGGACAGCTATCAAAAATATTTAAATTTTTATCTTTTAATAAAAGCCCAACTTCCTATTCTTTGTTACTACATTTACAGGTTTCTTTTAGAATTTCTAATGCACGATCTTTTTCAAAGTTTTTATCGAAACAATTTAAATGTTTGATTCCGAAATAAAGCTTAATGAAATTGTTTAAGGGGGTTTTGTCACAACATCCAAAAATTTAGGAACACCTTGAAAAATTCGTATAAGCTAACAATTATATATAGAATAAGATATTAACATTTCGGGCACTCAAACTTCACCGTTTTTAAGAAATAAATTATCTATTTAACACGTACTATCGGATAAAGAGTATTTTACAGATTGCTATTAAAAAAAATTCAGACTGCTGAAATTCAAACATAATGTAAAAAAGTATGTTTTAAACATTATATTCCAAAAACAGTACCCGTAGATTCACCGTTGTTTAGTTATAACAAATTAAAAATGTGTATTTAAAGATCCGTGAAGATGTTGCAGCGGAGATTTCACCACCAACTCAATGTTGACGTACAATATAACCTCCGAACGTATCTATACTTATACGTCTAGATATACAGAGGGTATTTGTCTCATGCGGCGTTGCCACATTTATTTCTACTTATCTGTTTTGGACCACATAATGTATTTCAGAACACGCATTGACCATACATTGTGACACTACCCCCTTAACTTCTCTTTACTTTTATAGAAACTTTCATTAAAAAGATACCCATGGATTGACCATTCCAGGAGGCATTCCGAAACATCAAATTGATTTGTAATTACACGGGAATTCTGAGCTAGAACTAAATTTGCGTTATTTTGACTTAACAGCAACAAAGGGGCAGCGTCAAAGTGCTCAATAAAAACACCGGCCTTTTTAAAACAGTAGTCCACCAACCTATCGCTTACAAATTGCTTGGGAAGAGAGAGATTATAGACTAATGATATATTTTTCAAATTAAAAATGTTAGAATTAAAATTGCTTTGTATACTGAAATCCGTTTTTTGATGAGACAATGTGATCAAAACATTACAACCCCACTCAATAAGTATGTTACTTTTATTTGTAACTAAATCGAGCTATTTTACTAATCCTGTATTAATAATGAAGCATTGAGCGCCTCCATCTAATAAAGTATAAATAACCTTGTACATTTTGGGACCCATAATCGTGACTAGAATCAGTTGTAAATTAATTCCCGATTCCAGTCGTGGTGAATTATGATTTGTTGCCGATAACTCTTTCGTGAATGATGAAAGTTTTTTTACGAGACGTAGGACGAATGTTCGGGCCGAAACGGCCGTTCGCAAGACGACGTTGATTTTAGGGGCGTGATGGAGCTGTTGACAACAATTACTGTGACATGACTCACACAACTGGCAACTATTCAACCGATTGTGGAGAAACGCTTGAACAAATAATAAGGTAAATCTTCTTAATAGTGACCTTGTTTGTTCCGTAACAACTAGAATATTATATTAGTCGGCAAATGATATTGGCCAGGTGCATGTCATGCAGCGCCACTCTTGGTGTCAACACACCGTTGCCGTGAGGATGCTCGTGATAACCACTCTGCTACTCCACCAGCTCTGACGCGCTCCGAGCGCATAGTCACCGTGGGGACGGCCGTAACGATCGCTCTGCGACTCTTTCAGCTCTTATTCTTAATACGTAAATAGAGTTTCGACAAAATTCTTACCTGCCTTTTCTGGGAATCCTCTTGATTAGAATCGATAGAAGCAAACATACGAGACTTTTACTAGTTTAGGTGATTATTCAGACAAAGAAAATATTATGCGCCTTTATGAAGCGTTTAAAGGAGAAGCTCTTGATGAGACAAAAACTTTGTTTGCTTGTAAGTCATCGGTGTACGATATTATCAATACTTTGAAAATGCGTTTTAGTAATCCTTATCTGATATTGGAAAAGATAATCAATGAAATTAAAGATTAGCATAGGATCGATTTTTTAAAAACTAATTTAGTTGAAATTGCGTCGAAGCTGCAAAATGCGGTGACTGCAACAAAGTCTCTCAATTTTGTTGGGCATTTATATTCTCTTGAATTAGCAGACAATGAGATAATGAAAATGCCTGGATTAATGTTAGATAATTATGCTGATTTCGCAGTTTTAGAACGTCTTGAAAACCCCACTTTATGTATAGTTTCTGATTTTTCTCATCAAGAAACCCAAATCATTTTAGCAGCTGGTCTAATTTCATTAAATGCAAACGAAAAGAAATCAGAGCCAAATAGCAGGCATTTTAACGAAGACAAACGAGATAAATCTTCAAAAAATTACCATGACGATTCTAGAGCTCGTAGCTCTAGAAATGAAAGATTTGAAAATAATTGTAGAGACTACTATCATCATGTCTTAAGTGTTCCAGCTAGTAAGTCTTCACCGGATGAATCGTTTCTTAATTTTTCTAGTGCCTGTTGTGGTCAAACGATCATTATCTTGAAAATTGCTCTGAAGTTAAAGACTTACACTTGCGTCAAAGTTAGAAAACTATACGTTAAAGTAAAGAGAAGTGAAGAGGGTAGTGTCACAATGTATGGTCAATGCGTGTTCTGAAATACATTATATGTTCCGAAATAAACAAGTGAAAATAAATGTGGCAACGCCGCATGAGACGAAAACTCTAAAAAGGTATCTCGCTTAACCTTATTCCATCCTTTATATTTTTCTCCATAAATGGATAACATTTTATATTTTTACCAGCTTCGTTCTGTAAGGCTAAAATTCAATTTACGACGTCAAGTACAAATGCTGCGGTTTGGTTTGTTGCTTCTAGGTTAAACTTTGTGTTCTTGTGATTTCCTTGCGTCCACGGACAAAAACTACTTTGGCAAACTGTAGGGCATAAAGAATGTCCATAGACGTACATTTTCAGTTTTTTTCGGAAAGAAAAACAATATATGTAAGTTTGACTGAAGCGTACATTGAGAATATTTATTTTAGGTGCTTAAGTTCGTACTTTGCGTTTTAGTGACGTACTGAGTACTACCTGGATTTAATGCGCAAATTATACTTTTCTTATAAAAAACCATTAGCCATACGATTACAATATTAGCTCTTATGTTTTACATGATTCAATTTCACATTGTACTTTTTTTATCATTTTCGCTTTCAATTTACATCTTGACAACTCATTTTAAAGTTAAATTTACACTGTTATTAATATTAATATCAATGTATGTATTATAATTAGTTTATTATTTACAGGTTTATGCAGACTATAGTGAGGAAGATATTGGAGCATTAAACTGTGATCATATTGAGGGACATTTATGTGTCAATTCTGATCTGCTACTTGGATGTACAGAAGAATACAGAAAACTAAAAAATGGAGATGTAAGTATTTATATCAATTTTTTGACTTCAAAAACTATTGTGTAAGAACTAGAATGCTTGGTATGTTTGCTAGAAAAATTTGCTACAATAATCATTTCTTTCTCTTATTTCCATAACGCAAGAGCGTATGTTCACATCGTAGACCTGATCCAGATCTTTACAGACTATTCGTAACCTAAAACTGTGTGTCAATACTGTGCTTATTCTGAATACTTTCTGTAGATGCTCTTGACTGCACTGCTCATATTACTATCCTCCCTCCTTAGAAAATCTTTTTTTCTTATACTCTTTGTTTATTGCGTACTGCTATTGGCAAGATAACCATGTATAATGCGTCGTTGATATCATCCTTAATGTGTTACAAGTGGTGATATGAGATAATTTAATAGCTATATACTGCAAGTTAGTTATGTTGTAAATACAATATTTTATTTTTATCACCTCCGAAAAAAAAAAACAGTTGGCATTATGTAATTTTACACCAGCGGTTGCGCCAGCCACACTAAGGCTTCTGTAGCTTCTGAAACAGAAACAAAAATTTTTCTTTCAAGTAAAACGTTTTTGTTTTTGGTACATAGCAAGTATATCTCAATACAGCTTATAAAACATGCACAAGCTGGTTATAATTAAATAAAGTGACACAATATTTTACAGAAATTCAGGGTATTTAGAGAAATGTGAGTCCCCAGTCCTTGTACGTATAAAATTGCTTTTTTTAAAAAGCTGTCTGAATGAATTAGCGTAAATACCTATTTTTTGTTCGTGGTTGACGCTCGAAGTTCGTAAAAGGCTGAGCCTTTCTAGAAAATACAAATATGCAGGCCCTTCCTGCCTACAGCATAATAAAATTATATCTATTATTCTCTATTTGCCCAAGAATTGAATAAATCAACTTAATAGTTATAAATGAAATAAAGAGAAAAACTTTTTTCCAATCCAATTATTACATTGATGTGTACTAATTTGTGCATACATATTTTTACATTACATGTTATAAGTACGTGTAATGTTATACATCTTATGGTTTGACATGAATCACAAAGAAAAATTATAGTAGTTCTGGAGTTTACACCAACTTTTACTATGGTACGTATTTAGATCATACACAAACATTAACTACGTATATATATGGGACATGGCAGTAATAAGACAGAGTCATGATACAGCTCAATCCTTTCAGTACTAAGATAATATAATTAACAAAAATAAGTGACTGTAGTCAAATTTATTATTAAGTTTAATGAAGCCTACCCACAAAAAGTTGCGTTTAAACATTGATAAAATAATTTTACAAAACTAAATTGTAGGTTTTACTTCACGAAAGTAATAGTAACACTAGTGATCCAACAGCCTTTTACTTTTATCATACATTTTGTCGAAATTTTATGAAGCTTACACTGACGACCACTAGATAGCATATAACAGCTCACGGATGTACTGGCGATGTTGTAAATATTTTTTTTCTTTGCCAATATAACTTTTTTTTTGTCACAAGGCAAGTAATTCTTGACATGGTTCTCAAGACACATTCGCTACCTGATAGTCATTAAGCAAAGTGGGACAAAATTCTTTAAAAACTGGATGATGGACAAAATATGCATGTTAATCGATACCTTACTTGGATGACAATTTTTTGAGAGATCTATTTTTCTCTGTTTCGGTTAGAGTAAAATATCCCATACATCGTAGAGTTTTTTTGCATTTCTGGCTATTGGCCGCTCCATGCTGTAACGATTGATTTCATGGTGATCTTCAAAAGCATGAACAAGTTCTTTTATTTCTTAGTAAATTAAATAGTTAAAAAAACTCATGAGCCACCCTACATTACCTATTTAAGCGTGCCCCGGTAATCTTGAAAAATTTTTTGGTGTAAATTTTAATAATGTCTAAGCTATCTGCATAACTAGATTCTTAATTGGTAAATCAATGCAGAAAAAGCAGTAACAGCCATTCATTGATGCATGGATGATCGTTAGAATACAAAGAGTATACCTTAATATAAATAATATAGTTAATAAGTTTAATATTTAATTCTGTTCGGTTCGTCTCCTGATTAAACTGATTAATAGCGAGTAAGTATATTATACTTTGGCCGTTTTTTGAAAGTTCCATGTTAAAGTAATTAAATTTCATGATTAGCGGTTTTTCAAAGTTTTCAACTCTATATTTTGTGAAAGGTATTCAGTGTACAATTTTTTCTTGATATTTTATTCCGTAGTATATTTTGACGGACTTCAATGGATACAATTTTAAACTTATGTGTATGTATTATCATAGAAAATGTCAAGTATGGAAGTAGATTGTTTTTAATGTATGGGTGTCAGTAAAAAAAAATTCTTGTATTTAAAGTTATTCGTAGTATAAAAACATTCTTGTAGCTCATTTCTACATTATTTGACTTTCATTTTGTGAACAAAAATCAATTAACTTTGAATGTTAGAAAAAGGTGTTAATGATAATTTGAAACACGAATATAAATTAAACCAGTTTATAGTGAGAGAAAATCAGAGAGCTTCGATAGCTTAGTGGTTAGTGTGCTGGCCTTCTAGCTGGAGATACTCAAGGGGTCGTGAGTTCGAATCCCGTCGAAGAGATTATTTCTCAGTCTTTTCCAATGAGATGAGTATCCAGAAGACCGAATCATCGCTTATCCGAACTTTAAAACGAATAGTGAATTTTTTCTGGTGATATCTGGACCTCCAGGAACTTTCTTTTCGAAGGAAAGTCAGCACCTGGACAGCTCATCGGGTAAAGTCACTGTTGGTTATAAAAAGGTCGGTACAGCGAGTTAAATGGTTTATTGGTAAATAACTTTCCATCAAACTTGATATTAGCTGGAGTGTGCTGGAGACAACCGTTGCGCCCTGTAAATAATAGCCAGTAGGATAGATGACCGAGTTGTCTGAGGGGAACTTAGCAAAGGGGCTCGCACAAAAGACTCGCATATTTAGGAAATAGGATGGTAGTAATGACGGGAAAAAAAGAAAGGTAAAGATTAGGGAAATAGGATACGTAAAAACCCTGGAATGGCTATATGTTGCAATCTTAATACTATAGTATACTATAGTATACTAGTGAGGGCAAATCCCAAAAATCCAGCCAGAAATACAAAATTCAAGTAATCTATCTGAACTCTTTTCCTTAAGGGATTTTTGGGTCACAGATCACAAATTTGATGTCAAACTTACGAAAAATTCATGCTCTCAACCCCCTTATAACCACCCCCTCACATAAAGCAGCCAATGTTTTGTAACTCAATCACGTTACATATCATTTCCCAGATTTTTTGGGATCACTGATTACAAATGTAATTATGCAAAAAATCAACGACTTTACCCCGCAAGACCACTCCTTGCATGATATAAACCAATATTTCATAACCCAATCAAGTTAAGTATCGATTTCAAGGTTTTCGGGGTCGCTGATTACAAATTATATTCTTTTTATTCATATTTGTAATGAGTATGTCAAAGAAAAACATACCATCTACAGTTTATTTAATACTTTATTTTATTTTACATACAACCGGCTTGAAAAAAAAAATGTTCGTTATAATCAGAGTCAACATGAAACATTCAAGGCTCCTCTGAATCAGTTGTTTCTAGATCTGTTTGGAACTCTTTTACAATATTTTCATACATAGGTAAACATGAAATTACTAAAAGATTAAAAACATCTGCTGACAATGATTGTGATGGCTTTTTGGTATCTCTCAGCAACTATAAACAATAGTACAACTTATTTCTAAAAATATCTTTAAAATATATTTTATGGTTTTTTTTCTGTAATTTTGATGTAAAACATCTAATGGTACGGTACGGTTGTAAGCCTGATCATTAACATGTTGACTCCCCACTTAAAGTTTGTTGGCTCAATCCGTCTTAGCTTGATGGTCGTCTTTCTCTATCTCTTTTTCTCTTCCTCACTAGAAGACTTAAAGAGGATTGAAAACCAAAACGGTGAGAAATAATATATAAGGGAAGTACTCACGTATGTAATTATATTGTAACTACAAAGTTAATGAAAATTTCGAAAGGGTCAGTAAGTAGATATTTGAGATTTCATCATTACATATGTCTATATATAGTCAACGAATCGTATTCGTACCGTGTAGTTAGTGTGTATCACACGTATACAGTCTATGTACGTATTGCATATGCGTATGTATGTGAGAATGTAGTTATGTGTACGACTGTGTGCGTATATTTCACACCTAAAAAGACTAATCACTTTTTATTTTAATACACTAAACAATTCCCAAAGAATTTTCGATTGCTCGGCAGATAGATGTACACGCCCAATATTTATTCATTGGGTCCTTATTATGACTATGGTTGTTATACTGGACTAATCTCTGGGGCCACCCACTCGCTGCATATGTGTAAAGATGTGTTGCCGCACCTAATTACCAACCACATAGCTAATATCATACATATTATACCATGCTAACAATAGAAATGTATCTGGTGAAACACCTTGCCAGTTATGCTGACACTCTGCACCAATGATGTATTGGGTCAACTTGTCTCTGTGTAGCTTTTTCCCGGAGAAGACTCCATATTTCAGGCTTGTCCACTCTTTGTCAGATAAGCCAACACTTTCGACCGAATCATCGAATCCAGCCTAATAAGAATCCCCAGAGAAGCCCCATGTTTTAAGGACTACTCCTTGCCGATAAGGCTGGCTCCCTGCCCTGCGCACAGTGAGTAAATTATCTTTTTTGAAGTTATACTTCTATAGGCACGTTCTGCCCTACAGATTATATAAACGATGTCAGATTTGTGACCTTGAGAAAAAGTGTAACGGAAGTGAATTAACAAAAAAATTAAGTTTCTAAATAGATATATACTCTCGACCTCTTGCACACTAGCTGAAGCCCTTACCCACTCTGCTGAACTCGATTAATTCATGCTATCTTACAGTCCGAAACGTTTTTCAAAAGTAAATTTTTATTTTCTGCTTATTAATTCATTTGGTTTGGTTAAACATTAAATAAATCA